GCAGGCTTTCCTTCTCGGGGTGGACGATGAGTCCGACCCTTGAGGCAGGAGCCTTTTTAACTTTCCTCTCAAATTATAAGGCCGGATCACCACCGTCATCACCAGTGGCAAGGAGAGAGGTCGCGCATTTACCATGTCGAATTTTTTTTTTCGGGGAGGAAAGAAAAGTTAAGCGCCACTCAAACGCGGTGGTTTATGCAGTCTGCCCACACCCGCAAAAAGTTTAGAGGGCGCTGACCGGGTGTCGTTTTCACGCATGTGTGTGGGACAGCTTGGAGCACGTCGTGTCCGCCTAGAATTGTGATGTCGCGTGGTTGGATCTTTGGCGTGCACGAGTCGAAGGAGGGTCTAGCGCAAGCCGACCTGCAGTGATTGGCGAGAGGTCTCGTACCTCCGGTACGGGGTGTTTGTGTGGGTTCCATCATGAGGATATTGCGATCACTCTGCCGCATGTACCAACTGAGCGGATGCCAATCTTGCAAAACTTTTTCGGGACGGGGGCATGCATGCGGCACGGGGCACTCCTTCCCTGTCTGCCCCAACCTTTGCAGGCGACCACACGTTTTACCTGCCCTGTTCTTGACGAGATCAACCACCCAAAGACCCACATGCTTGTCTCGATTTGTTATCAAGCACGGGCACGCAATGTGTCTACCTGCCGCCCCAAAGATGACGACAGCACCTCGAAACGCGACCGAGAAACAAAAGGGGCTCAGGGAATGCAAGCCGCCGCCGCCGCCGCCTCCGCCCTCCCCCCCGCCGGCGGCGACGGCGGCGGCGGCGGTAGCGGGTCGTCGTAGTGAAGGGGAACCAATCGGCGCTGTACCTTTCTGTGCGATCTGGGCATGGGAACGCCTCGTTGCAAGATGGGGGGGTGTTTGCTAGGCTGGGGTGGAGGGGGGGGTAGGAGTCGGAGCCTTGGCTAACGTCGAGCTGGCGGCGGAAACGGGAGGGTGGTTCCTTGAAACGGGGGGGAGGATGGTGTATAGCGCATATGGGTCACGTACAACGGCGTTGGTGTGGCGTTTCTTCCCGCGTACGACCCCGGCGTCGCCAACGGGAGATGGCGGGGGGGGGGGGATGGGCAGGCTGGTTTTTTGAGGCTGGTGTCCAAATTTTGCCTTGAATATGAGGAGGGTGTGCGCGGGTATATTCCACAGTAAATGGGATGAGAAGTTGTCTTGGGGTAAGGGGGGAGAGGAGTACTCTACGGTACTTTTTTTGCGAGAAACCCGTGGCTGCTAGGTGGAATGCACATGTGTTACCATGGTACTATAATTACTAAAGAGACAGCGGTTATTATTTTTGTGCAACAAGAATAGCAGCGGGGCTGCCTCCAATTCGAGGTCCGCTTTCAATTGAACGTGCGTGCGTGCGTGCGTGCGTGCGTGGTTGGTTGATTATGACGGCACAAGACTTGCGTTGCGCGAACAGTCGGCGCGCGACTTTCATCTTTGTATAACAAAGAACAGCAGCGGTTGCTAGGAAAAAGAAAGAACCAATTGTTCCGGGCTTGTCCTTTTTGGGGTACAATGGAGGGCCCTGTATAGTGCCGGGGTGTGTCCGAGATTTTATCGGCACTATACCGGGCACCGGCGCAATTCAGAGTACAGAACGATTTGGTATTTCAGTGTGTGCGTGCAGAAAACACTATCGGCACTACAGTACCGGGCACCCGCACTGTTCAACCGGCACTACAGAGGCCCCCCTGCTGTAGTTGGCCTGTGATCCACGGAAGGCACCCGAGTCAGTTGGACCAGGTGCGGAAATTAGAAGGTAGGTACTGAGTAAGCACCGGAACCATTGTGAAGACGACAACAACAACAACCACAACAACAACAACATCTAGCGACCATTGTCTTCGTCTTTGATTGTTGTGTACTCTTCGACGTGCTCGAGGCCCGACGCAAGAACATGCCAGGGTTTCCTTCCCTGCACTTCCGCGATGACCTTGTTGTACACCCAGGGCTCGTACAAGTATCTATGTCGTCCAAGACGCATGCGCCCCCCCCGTGTGTGCATGCGTTAATGCTGCGTCTCCCCTGTCGATTGTACTGCTACTCTCCCAGCCCGCGTTGCAATCACGGAAGGGGCGCATCGTCCCTGAACACCTAGAAAGAAACATCAACGTGACGCGAGCGACCAACGTATCAAAATGTAATGTTGCTATAGCGTACAACCTGTGCCCGTAGTTTACAAGATCTTTTCCGGAAAGGACAAGGAAGGAGACCGTGATAGCGACAACAACACTGGTGGTGTGATGCGCGTACAGCACGCCCCCAAACCCCTCCAAAGACAGGCAGGCCTTCCAAAAAAATCGGGTCAAATAAGAAAATGAGATCCACAACACACCGCAGGAGAAAAAAGCGACCCCACGACACAAACGGCAGCAAACGAAAATAAATATTGACCCCCACGCACTTTGAGCTCCAGACAGAGAATAACTCCACTTCCTACGGATATGTCACCTCCCAAAACGTGTATGGTTTGACTACCTCTCTCCCTTTTTTCAATTATCCCCCTCCCAAGTGGGGAAACCTGCTCTCCGTCTCGATGACCAGACCAAGGTACTAAGCATATTTACAATGCACAACGAGAAGACGACGTTTGTTTAAGACACCCCGCGTCATATGTAGGTCGTCGTGTCGAAGGGAAGAGTGCCACGAGGCCACTCCATACCCCTTCAGGACGCGGGCCTTGTCCTCGTAAAAACAGTTTATTCACGTGCTTACCACAGGCGCTCAATCAAGGGCCGCTCAAAGGTGAGGGGCTGCAAACAAACAACAACGGCATTGATTGTCGGTAGGAGGGAGGGAGGGGGGTGTCAATCAACAAAGTGCAGCGCTTCGAGACCAATGACAATCCTATCGTTGTGCACGACATTAACTCAGCTCCTTCGGGTGGTATTGGGGTGCGTCCCAAAGGCGTCTCTCTGTTGCGGTGTCCTCTAGTGTGTGGGGCCTTCCCACCTTCCCTTGCCACGAGAAAAACAGCAAGGGATGAGTGATGACAACCTGCCTAAGGCGGTGGCCGGAGAATAAACAGCATTCATTCTATCACAACAGCACATCACCACCACTGCAGCAGAGGAACAGCACTACAGCACTACCAGTGCGAGAGCTACAACCAAGCGGTGAAACTGCGGTGGCCCCGCGCTGTTCACCTTGGCCGGGCGGCGACGGCGGGGACGACGGACATCGTTGAAACAGCGTGTGTGTGGTAAATTTAGGTCCAAAGTGATTATTATTATTGCTTCGTGCAATAGTTGAGAGAGATGAACGAAGAGGGTCTCCGTCGGGCAAATGGGGTTGGAAAGAAGGGTGTCGAAGAGCCGAATAGCGCACACCCTCCCCCCTCTCCCTTCTTGTGCGGTCCTCTGCCCTTACCCGTGGTGGAAACGGTCTGGTCGGCGATCCTCAAAAAGGGGGACGAGAAGCTGCCGCCCCCAGTCCCTCAGGTATAACATTGGTCGGAGTACACTCACGGCTATGTCTACCCACGAACAAGGAGTTGGTATTAGTATCACGGGGTTTCGTTGGTGGTGCAAGCATTACGTAGGGAGGCTAGCACGAGGCATTCCTATTGCCGACGTGAAATACGTTCGGTCCACAACTATTGCCTTGCTCTCTCTCTCTTGCCCCTCCGCTTTGCCGTCCCCGTTGTTGTCTTTGCAGGCCAAGCCGTCCTACAACAGGGATTTGAAGTCGTGGCCAGGGAGGAGAGCAACAACAACAACCCGATGAAGAATCCCCTCTTCACTAGGTAGGCACGCTGACTTCTGGAATATTCATTCTTGTGCTTCCTCGCCAAGCTCTCCCTGGTGGTGATTTTTGGCCTTGCCCCGCCGCCGAAGCCTCCACCCCCAAAATACTTCAAGCAACAAGTAAGCGAGCGTTGTTGATTAGGCACGTTGCTCAGCGGGGTTATGATTGCCTGAACGACATTGAGAACGTACCGCCCGTGGGTCCCTCGCTGTTGAGTTAAACGGTGCGTGTCTCATGCGGAGATACCCCGATACGATACGATATGCCACCAACACGCTTGCTGCAGTAGAGGCACCAGCAGAAGGCTTGCCTCTCTTAGCCGAAACAGATCTCGAACACCGCACACTCTTCCATATGCGGCAAAATGATGCGATCAAAGGTACTTGCACTCTCAGCTCCTACCCCCGTCGCCACGCATAGCGTTGTGAAATGGCATAGAACAGCCTGACAAGCAGCCCGGCTGCGCACGCGGAAACTGTTTGAAGAGGACCTGTCTAACGCCGCCTCCCTCCTCCCTTACCCGCCTCGGTAATTCTTTTTCAAGGGATGGTGGTCGAAGCTCGCCGGGGAGCTGAAAGACGAGATCATCGACCCGACCTGAGCCCCCACGTCGTCCCCGCCGTCGCCGCCCGGCCAAGGTGAACAGCGCGGGGCCACCGCAGTTTCACCGCTTGGTTGTGGCTCTCGCACTGGTAGTGCTGTTCCTCTGCTGCAGTGGTGGTGATGTGCTGTTGTGATAGAATGCTGTTTATTCTCCGGCCACCGCCTTAGGCAGGTTGTCATCACTCATCCCTTGCTGTTTTTCTCGTGGCAAGGGAAGGTGGGAAGGCCCCACACACACTAGAGGACATCGTAACAGAGAGACGCCTTCGGGACGCACCTCAATACCGCCCGAAGGGGCTGAGTTAATGTCGTGCACAACGATAGGATTGTCACTGGTCTCGAAGCGCTGCACTTTGTTGATTGACACCCCCCTCCCTCCCTCCTACCGACAATGCCGTTGTTGTTTGTTTGCAGCCCCTCACCTCTGAGCCGGCCCTTGAGCGCCTGCGGTCAGCACGTGAAGAAACTGTTTTACGGGGACAAGGCCCGCGTCCTGAAGGGGTATGGAGTGGCCTCGTGGCACTCTTCCCTTCGACACGACGACCTACATATGGCGCGGGGTGTCTTAACAAACGTTGCCTTGTCGTTGTGCATTGTAAATATGCTTAGTACCTTGGTCATCGAGACGGAGAGCAGGTTTCCCCACTCACTGTTAGTGGGAGGGATGAGTGGAAAATAGTGAGAGAGAGGTCGTCAGACTACTCGTTTTGGGAGGTTACATATCCGTTTGCAAGTATGGAGTTATCTTCTGTCTGGAGCTCAAAAGTGCGTTGGTGGGGTCAATATTTCGTTTGCTGCCGTTTGTGTCGTCGGGTCACTTTTTTCTCCTGCGGTGTGTTGTTGATCTCATTTTCTTAATTGACCCGATTTTTTGGAAGGCCTGCCTGTCTTTGGAGGGGTTTGGGGGCGTGCTGTACGCGCATCGCCCCAGTGTTGCTGTCGCGATCACTTGGTCTTCTTCCTTGTCCTTTCCGTAAAAGGTCTTGTAAACTGCCGGCACAGCTACTACTTCTAGCAAGAATACTTTGACGTTGGTCGCTCGCGTCACGTTGATGTTTTGTTTGAGGTGTTCAGGGACGATGCGCCCCTTCCTTGATTGAAACACGTGGGAGATTACAGCACAGAGTAGTACAGTCGACAGGGGAGACGCAACATTAACGCATACACACACGCGGGGGGGGGCATGTGTGTTGGACGACATGCATACGAGGCCTCGGTGTACAGCAATGAGCTCGTCGCAGAAGTGCAGGTACGGAAACCGTGGCATACTCTTGCGTCGGGCTTTGAGCACGCAACAGTCACAGACGAAGACAATAATCGCCCGCGCGACACAAATTAAAATTAACAAAAAATACACGCTGTAAATAAACCCGAACGCTTGGTGCTATATCTTCACCCTATTCAACAACCGCTGCTATCTCTCGTTGCACCAAAATAATGGCCGCTGTTTTAAAATTAGTACCATGTACACCATCCTTGTAGTCCACCTACTGTAGCACCCACGGGTTTCTCGCAAAAAAAGTACCGAAAAGTACACCGCTCCCCCCATACCCCAAGACAACTTCTCATCCCACTTACTGTGGAACATACCCGCGCTCAACCTCCTCCCATTCCAAGACAAAATTTGGACACCAGCCTCAAAAACCAGCCTGCAAGACCCACCCCCTACATCCCCCGTTGGCGACGCCGGGGTCGTACGCGGGAAGAAACACCACACCAACGCCATTGTACTTCACCCATACGCGCTAAACTCCATCTTCCCCCCGTTTTCAAGGAACCACTCTCCCGTTTCCGCCGCCAGCTCGACATTAGCCAAGGCTCCGACTCCTGCCCCCCCCTCCACCCCAGCCTAGCAAATACACCCCCATCTTGCAAAGAGGCTTTCTCATGCCCAGGTCGCCAAGAAACGTATGGCGCCGATTGGTTCCCCTTGTTACTCCGACGACCCGCTACCGCCGCCGCCGCCGGGTGCGGCGGCGGTGGCGGCGGCGGCGGCGGCGGCGGCCTGTCGAGACAGGGATTTCCGCTTGGTGATGTCTACGCAGTCCAGGTAGCGCCTTCGGAAGGCGAATAGGATGGCCGCGGTGATGGACAAGGTCCCCACCAGAACCATGAAGAGCTTCGACGTGCCTAGCTCCTGCGATATCACGCCTTTTGGGGCGGAGGGGACGGTCGAGCGCGCGGTTGAAGTGGCGTGCGGAGGTTAGGTAGGAGGATGGTGTGAATCATGGGCTAACATCTGTCGCGGAAAAGACAAATGTCCCTCTAGCAGGAGGCATGTTGGCGGTACAGCAGTGGGGAACAACTGCAGAAGAACGGTGTCTTGTAGAGTCTGGAGCGGGAATCAAATTCACTCGGCGTGGAGATCGCAGGGGGCAGGAGCGCGGTGCTCATTGCCGTGCATGCCCTAGTCTTCTTTAGACCATCGACATCTCATCCCTACAAAGCCGGGACGGAGCACGCCGGGTTCTCACCGGACCAGGCTCTCACATCACCTCGCGCCAAGCACCGTGAGGTATTCAGCGAGTCGAACGGAGGGTGTGCTAAATTTCCTGCTCAAGGGTGTTCGGCATCTTGTGCTTACTCCCTCGCATACGGATGACAGCTGCGAATGGCAAATATATTTTCTGGTGTTTTCATTCCCAGAGACAGAAATATATACGAAGTACTGTGTAACTTCCTCGAGGGTGCTCGACCAATTTAACACAACGTGCTATGATCCCCTTTTTTATTGCGGAGAGATGGTTCTCGCACCCACCCGCACAATATAAGCGATACCGCAGAATAACCAAAGAACAAAAACGCGGTAACGTGGTGTCGTGCTCACCAAGCGGTCGGCGTCTTTTACAACGTCGCTAAGCGAAGAAAACCAACCCAGATGGCTCTCGGGGGGGGGGGAGGGGAGGGGGGGCTGCATTTGGTCCATCAGACAGCATTGTGTCTCTCTCCCGAAGCAGTGTGGTGTCGCTGACAGATCGAGAACTAGTGAAACAAAGTTCCTGTATTCGCCGCAAAAGCTACGTAGCTTGTTGGAACAGGAAGCCAACGTTTAGCTTGTTTGGAGTAAAAAAGACTATTTAGCACAGACGGTGCCGACGTACCAACGGCCTCGAAACGAGGTACCACCGGCAAACACGTCTGATGGAAGGAGGGTCGCGACGGCAGCGGCAGCAGCAGTACATACAGCGACGAGTCTTTCAACACACGCGGTGTGGTGAGTTTGCTTACCGGCGACAACCGGGAAGCCGATTCTAGCCAGGGACCCGGCAGATCCGAACCACCCCAGCAGGGCTCCCTGCGGCTGCGCCCCGACAACCTTCGAAAACAGACCCAACACCTGCGAGGTGATGAGAAAAGGCACAAAACAAAACAAATACTCGTTTTTCGAGTTACGTACGGTCTTCAGGTTAGGAGGAATAGCGCGCACCGCCTTCACCAATCGAAAACTCGTGTTCGTCGTGAATATAGCGGGGCGGAGAGAGGTAAAAGCGCACAAAAAAACGAACGTTCTCTGAATCATTCGGAAAATTCTTCCACGATGAGTGAGACACATGTGTGCGATAGTGTGTGTGCGGCAACACCGAGCGAGAGCATATACCGTAGAAAGCAACAACGCAGACCTGCACTCAAATGTATAAAAAACTTGGAAAAAAAAAAAAATGCAGCAACGACGAAGACTGTCTTGAGTTTATTTACGCTTGCGCCACCGTTGTATGCACAACATAAAACAAGAGCGACGGCGTAGTGTTATTGTCCAAGACTGCTGAGAATCAATCCCCGGTGATCACGTCGGCACGGGAATAAGAGCATGCACCCAAACCGCAAAAAACAGCTGGAGGACGGACTGACTCACCGCCGTGTGTCCGATGGGGTAGCCCACCGAGTACATTAGGAAAACCGCCCACAAGAAGAGAGGGAGACCCGACGCCCCCTCCGGGCTTCGCACGAACATGAGGCACGCCACGATCATCACCCCCATGCCTCCCAGGACGATCTGCACGTCGTTCAAGTAGCGGCAGATCAACCGCATCGACAGCAACGACACCTGCTCTCTCCGCCGTTTTCGGGGGGGGGGGGATGGGGGTCAGAGTCAGTCACGGCAAACACTCGTACGTGATCGTTGCTTGCTTGATCGGCGACAACCTCACGTCCAAAACAAGAAGAAAAAAAAAACACACACACACACTCACAGACACACACAACGGTTCTAGTTGGGCATCATCTGTAGGCTTACAGCGAAAGTCCTGAACCATAAAATTTTGTGAACGGGAGCCCTTAAAATTTCTCGGTAAAACCTCAATTTAGCGTTGTCTCTTTTTTCCGGGGGTTGCGTGTCCTCTAGACTATAATAGTGTGTAAATTTAGATTCTAGGACTACTGAAGAAGAGCACCCTGTAGCGGTGGGCGAGGTTGCGTCCTCTATAGCTATTGCTGTGAGTTAGATTCTCAAACTACTTGAGACCAGCACCATTTTGGTGTGGTGCTTACCGAAAGCCGTGGACGAGATACGCACACGCGAGGTGCGTCAAAACGCAAGCAGCCGATGCAACGTTCCCCTGCTACCTGCGTCCTTGAATCTCGACCAGATCTCGGGTACAAGGCAAAAACGCTGTACACACAATAAAAGAAAAAAAACTCCATGGATACTCAAAACTCACCACACCAATCGACCCGAAGGTCGCGAAAATCGACCCTGCTTCCGCGCTTGTCATGCCGAAGTGCGTCATGGCGTACTCCGCTCCAAGGGTCTCGAAGCAGGCGATGGTGCCCTTGGTGCTCATGTTCAGCAGGAAACCCCCGTAGATGAGCACTTCCGAGGCGGTCGGCGCCCGGCACCACCACCGCTCTTCTCTCCGCAACTCCTCCTCCTCCCCCCCCTCTCCCGCCGCACCCTCTTTTGCGGCGGGAACGCTACCGTACCCGTTGCTGTTGTTGCCGCTGGGAGTCGCCAGCAATCCCAGCTCGGAATCTCTTACCGCCGCCGTCGACGGTGTTGGTGTTGTTGTCGCCGACACGGCCGACAGCCGCCGCGTCTCGTCTTCGTCGTCCGAGTCCACGAACAGGCCGGGCCCGCTGCTGCCGTTCCTCGCGCCCAGCTCAGCCGGGGGCCACTGGTCGTCGGTGTCGCTGTCGCTCATCCACCCAGACCTTCATATATCAGTCCCACCACCAAAGCAGAAGAAGCGAGCAATTAAATTGGATCTACTAACCTTTCCTCGACTTCATTAATATTTGGATCGACTATAGCTAGCTCGACTTCACCGGACGGGAAAAATCAACAAGATCCAATGGTTGTTCTCGAAAAGATCAGACAAGTCACCAATACCACGCTGATTCCGAAATAAAAGGCGCCAGACGGGAAAAATCAACAAGATCCAATGGTTGTTCTCGAAAAGATCAGACAAGTCACCAATACCACGCTGATTCCGAAATAAAAGGCAATAAAAAAAAGCTTTCGTGATAATAAAAAAAGTCCACCAATACCACGTACTGGTACCACGTACAGCCGTGCCTCGCTTAAGGACACCAAAAGTAAGGAAACTGCCTAGGTTAAGGACAACATTTTTTTTCACAGGCATGGTGGCTCGCAGAACGTACAACACACTTGACGGGTATCAGCCTTAAGGACACTTCCCCGGCTTAAGGACACGTTTCTTAGCAAAAAACCAGGTGTCCCTTAACCGAGGTTCGACTGCTCTATGCTAACTAACCTGGCGAGAGAGACATCAGACGGAGCCCCCATGAGGTACTTGGCCGCGGAGCCGCTGCTGTAGGCCATCTCCGCCTCCGTCTTGACCAGCGGCGTGCTCTTCTTCGTCGAAACCTTGACCTGCTTGCTCGTCTTGGTCGGCTTGCCATTGGGGATGGAGTCCTCGAACACGAGCTTCAGGAGCGCGAAGAGGACCAACGCCGCTACAATCATCACGTACGCCTGTTGGTCCGATCGAACCGGGATTGGGTCAGTCGGTCAAAGCTTGGGGAAAAGATTTTTCACCACTCTGTTGTTTGCTCCCCACAACCTGTGTCCATGATGGCCCTTTGACGGGCCCCAAGTGGTTTTGCCATACCGATTTCATCCTGATGGACACACGGGTAAATCCATCTAAGCCAAGTCAGGGGGAAAAGCAGTTTAGAACGACCCGCCCCGTCGTCGGCCTTGACGCGGGAACAGATGCAGAAGGGTGCCAGCAAGACTTTAAGGTGCAAAGAGTCAACGTGAAGTGCAAAACGTACAGCACGACACGGTCAAGATAAACATTCCATGTACTTATGTCTAACCTTCCATTCACTTATGTCCCAGCCAACAAACAGACTGAGCAGTGTTGACGTACCCCCCCCCCCCCCCCTCCCTCAACCGTGAACGAGCTAAATGTTAAAAAAATAAACAAGGGTACCGGCGCGACCCTCGGGTCATACAAGGATGCTCCAAAGCTAACCATCATTTCTTTCGCTCGAGCACATGAGCGTGCCCCCAAAACAGACCAAAACCTACCCCTGCCTGCCGGTCTCTAGAAAAAAATCACGGCATAGATCGATCATGTCTACGATCGACACTGCCCCCACGTTTCCACCCGTCTCCACCACAAAGACTGGTGGGGACTTAGGACATGTGCTCTCCAACAGGACATCTTGTCGGTTGTTGTTAGCTGTTGTCGCTGCCTCCACACAAGGAAAAACACACCGTACATATGACCGGCTCAATCCAGCCCCACCTCACCTTTTCCGGAGTATTCCACCAAAGGGCACCGCCGGTTTTCGTGCAAACAAAGGAACAACGGTACCGGACCGCCTTCGCCAGGATTCTGTTAATAACAATCTTAGAAATAGAGAGGGGGGTTTCGTCCCTGTTCTTATATTCTTGATCCTTGATTCTAATAATAATCTTAACCTCGCGGAGGCTATTGGCAGCACCAGCACGATATAAGAATCAAGAGGCAAGATTGCCGTCGACAAAACAACGTTGCTCATTACTAGTCACCCCCTTAGACTCCAAGAAAAGCCACCTTTTGCCACTTTGCTATTTGCTTACCGGCGCGGTGAAGGAAGTTAGCACCAGGAATTCCCCGAGCAAGGGTATGCGGCGGTCCTTGATCAGGAACGATAGGAAACCCCCTACGAAAGGCATGCACGTAAACCCTGCGTATTGCACCGCGCTGAGGGTTGGGCGGGGGGGGGGGGGGGG